GGCTCACGCCTGTAATCCCAGCATTATGGGAAGCCGAGGTGGGCGAATCATGAGGTCAGGAGATCGAGAGGCTCACGCCTGTAATCCCAGCATTATGGGAAGCCGAGGTGGGCGAATCATGAGGTCAGGAGATCGAGACCATCCTGGCTAACACGGTGAAATCCCATCTCTACTAAAAATGCAAAAAAAATTAGCCGGGCATGGTGGCGGGCACCTGTAGTCCCAGCTACTCGAGAGGCTGAGGCAGGAGAATGGCTCACGCCTGGGAGGCGGAGCTTGCAGTGAGCCGAGATCACGCCACTGGACTCCAGCCTGGGTGACAGAGCAAGACTCCGTCTCCAAAAAAAAAAAAAGAAGAAGAACAAAAATGTCACCCTTAGTCCTGAAGCTTTGACGCCTTTGGAACAACAATCTTTGTGCATGTTCACATACAGTTGTGTGTGTGTTTAACTCAGTGAGGTTGATCCAGGCAAACCCTGTTTTCCAGCTGGCAGACTGACTTTCTCTGCCTAATGTACCTGCCCTCTGACATTTCATCCTCCCATAAATCCTCCTTTTTCCGTAGTATGCAACCTAGTAGGATATCCCATTCAAATCCAAATCGGCAAGTGCTTCCCTGCTCCTGGGAAAGTTGGAGGCAGGCTGGGACTTTGCCTTAATGCCTTTGCTCTGTTCCCAGCATTGAGGAATGGAGCTAGCCTGTGACCAAAAAAAACATAGCCTCAGAACCTACTGAATCAGCCATTCAGTGCAGCAACATTAACGGGCTGAATTAAGCACCTGGGATTTAAGGGATAATTATGTTTAACTGTAAGTACAAACTTTCTGCACTGAAAGCAGACACAAAAGACGGGGTCATCACTTCCCCTCCTTTAGCTTTTGTAGAAGGGAGTTTTGACCGCTCTGTCCCTGGAGGGTATTTGAGGGTGGCCAAATCTGGACTTCTGTGATTTTTTTAAAAAACTGTATTCCAAAATAACTTTCTTGCTCCCAAGAGATTCCACATGCAAGATGCTGGCAGTTTACAGCTCATTAGTAACCCTTGAGAATCATTTTGTGCTCTTAAGCATACCAGTGATTATATTCGGAGTGTTCAAAGACAGCTTGCTGCTTTCTCTGTGCAGTCAGTCAACAGTACTGAATGCATATTTTGTCTTTTCTCAGAATACAACTTGAAAATTTACAAAGATTCTACGAGTTTAAATTTTCCCACTGTTATCTTAGAGTTAACTGTGTTTCCTTGCATCTTGCTAAAAATCTTACTATATAAATCCAAGAATGTGACTTTTCACCTTAAGTACTTTAGAATTTGTCTTCCGTAACGCATAATCCATACATGCCTGTCTTTCTACAAAATGTTTTAAGGATATTGAATTGTTTTATAAACACCTTTACATTTGGTACATAGCATGTTTATCATTTTTCATAGCTATATAATATTCCATTGGGTTGAAAATCGATAACTTATTTAAACATTCCTTTATTATTTAGTATTTAGGTTATGTTCCAGATTTTGTTATTATATACAGTGCCTTTAGGAACATCTTTGCAATATAGCTTATGTCTTCATTTTAATTATTTGTTCTGGATAAATTCCCAGAAATTGAATTACTGGGTCAAAGGACGTAAATATTTCCCTGACTTTGGGTCCTTACTGCCAACATCCCCTCCAAAGAAAATTATACCAATTTACAATTCCACCGACAATATATGAATGAGAACATATGTCTCTTTAAACAAGTATTTGCCATTGTAAAACTTCACCAGTCTTAACTTATTAAGCAATTGCCAGCATCCGATTCCCATACAAGTCTTTTGTTAAAGTATTAATAGGTCAAATATCCTTATTTTGGGTAGTCATGTGATGAAGGGAGAGCCCAGACACAAAGAAGCTCTCCGAATTATTTAAATATTCAGTGCCTTCTCCAGCCTAGCTAGCAAACTGTAGAAATATTTGACTGGCTACTACAGACACAAAAGCCTAACTTGAGCATAAGGAACTGCATTTAATTGAATAAACAAACATCAGTTCTAAGTCATTTTGTTTTCACACTTTCAGGGATAACAAACATTGAATGCATCTTTTTACTTGAGGTTTTCCTGAAAACCACCATATAAGCGCCAACAAGTTTTTTGTTGGTTTCTTTCTTTCTTTCTTTCTTTTTTTTTGAACCAAGAAGGAATCAGTTTTTAAAAAGAAAAGAAAAAAAAACTCCAGCTCTCTTACTGTTATTTTAGAATTGGTCATCCCCAGATTCTAGCAGAACCTTGGTAAGGACAAAGCAGAGTCCTTCCTAAGTCTTTGATTTAACTTCTTGGGAAGCAACGCGATGATAGATCG